CTACAAGAATTTTGAGATGTTTCAAGACCCTAAAGAAGTTCAAGTGTTATGAAACTTTATATGCTACTTACTTATGACTATAAGGGTTATTAACGGAGATCTCATGAGGAGACTCATTATAAGGAATTAAGATTTTTGTGGCAACGGTTAAGATGCTTAAGTAAGATTTATGCATTTGAAGAAGTGCTTATGACTCATGGATTAGTCTCTATTTTTTCATGGCTCATTTTTTCGGCTTCCTTTTCTTTCGATCCACTTATTTCTTCTTTCTTTTCTTGCTATAATGTTAATGGAGGTTTTTAGAAGATGTTGATGGTCTTTCATTAGTATCTTATACAAGCGATTTGCAATTGTTTTACCTTGATCAACAAGGCTCTGTTTCACTCAAATATCTCACTAAACGAGCTTAATAATATTTTATAATTTGACCGAGGATAATAATATTGTTCTTCAAACTTGAGATGTGATATACCTTGGTCATTAAACATTGATCGTGTTCTTACACTGAAACAAAGTGAATCATTTGTCTTGGATCGTTACAATTGATCCATTATAAAGCTTCATGTTTCCAATAACTTCTCATTAAGCTCTCTTAACTTTGCTCAATCTTCGGTCACGTGGTTGCTCACTCCAATATCTAAGTACCACATGTTTGTCCCCATTTGGTTTTCAACATCTGTAAAGGGGTTCCCCATAGCCTTTTCATCATTAAACACCAATAGGTTTGACATCTTCTTGGCCAACATGAGTGTAGACTCTTTGTTATTGGTGAATGTGAAGTTTGTCTCACTAGTGACATCATCGTTCGTACATAAGTGTCATACGTTTACATGAAAAAAAAAAATAGCACGTGGCTTAAGTATTTAAATATACTTAGTAAGTAGCCCAACTATTAAGGTTGGAAAATGCAATTACGATAAGACCTAACTTTCCGTAGCACTTTTCCTTGGTCATTACTTTCTAATCCTTGTAGGGTTGGATACGTTGTACTTCTCAATACGCGGCTCACGCACATGCACATGGACCAACAAGTCAAGGTCATATATGTATCGATTTACCTGATTATGGCCCAATGCATAATCATGCTACCGGAAGCCACAAAGAGAAAGGAGAACATATAATATCATGGTGTGCGTCTATACTAATCATAATAGGAAAATATCTCGATACACATAACATACAAAATGCATGAAGTCCTTTAGTTTCAAATCATGGTACGTAGTTATGATAAAAACTGCACCTCCATTCTTTTCATGATATAATGTTTTTATGAAGCATGCATGATTTATCAATGTCTCATATGCATAGTATTAACATGCAAAAATAATATACAAACCATGACATATGGAAGTAAATGCATCATATAACATTCATATAAAAACATCATTTCATAATACCGCATAATCATAACATAACATAGCATCATAAAAAATTGACACGTATAGGTGCCACAGAGTACGTATCAGTCATACATACAGGTTATCCAACCAAGCATATGAGCATTTAACAACAAGCCTAGTTACCAATTAACCTAAGCAGGAGTGGTCAAGCATGATTTCCCAGTTACCAACAAGCCCAGTCACTTACATAGTAAAATAGCTCATTGATATGAAATTCAACCTTTTTTTTGTCAAACATATGGTGGGTGGTCAAGCATGATTTCCTCTTTTCATCAACTTTTATATCATCAATAGAGATACCGTTTGCATAAGAAAAGGTCTGCATGTGTCACAATGAAGGTCAACATTGCTAGACATGTGCCTTGTGTGACTTGCATGGAAGATGTTTGAAGAATAGTATATGTAGCGCCCTATTTTTTTAGCCAAAATTAGTGGCGTTACACAAGCATGCTTTAATCTCATCGGTAAAGTTCATAATAAATAATTTAAAAATAAATTCGTGGACTTATATATTTAATTTTAAACCATAAATTAACCATAACATATTTTTAAATATATATATAAAAAATTGCATTTAAAACACTTACCAACTACTAAATAAAATAAAATTCAATGCGTTCTACTACTCTATCATGCCCTATTCTGACTTCCATGCTCTTTCCAGCATTCACCTGATCCAAACGTGGAGCTTTAACTTTACCTGGAAAGTATAAGGGTAGCACATGACTTAAGTATTTTACGAAATACTCAGTAAACCATCCGACGGTTGGGTTTAGCAATGCAATCACGCACATAACAGGATGAGACCTATCTTAAAACTGTCACATGTGCTTGGACTATTTTCAGTTTCGGGCAAGGTGGGTTCATATACGTACCCCTGGGCCTGACATGTTTAGGCTTAATGGGTTACACATCGCCAAATGCCACAGAAAAGGAAATACCATGAGAAACAAGTATATTGAAGGTACAAATCCGTATTAACATAACATAACGGGGAAGTATCCTGATGCACATGACACACATACATGCATGAGGTGCCCATGATTTACATTTAAAACATAGTATTAACGTCATTCCTTTTCTCATTTCATCCATGACATATTCCGTACATGCACTATGTATACCTAGTAAACATCACGTAGTCTATTACATCATTTTTCAATTCTATTCTTAGAGAGGATTTCATTTTATTCCTAACATGATATAATTGACATGACATGCCATTGTATACATAATAAAACATCACATTTCAATGCATAAAGCACACAAGCATAACATAAAAAATATGGTGCATGTTGGGGCCACAAGATTACTTACGTGTTTAGTGTCACTAATTTACTTACTTGATTCTTTAAAGTAAAATTCAAGTCAACTTAGGTGAGCTCATGACATCATATTCATGTTTGAACTTCTGAAGAATAATTTATCTCATTTACAATGGTCTATGTGTTAGATTTAATGCAAACATTATCGTCTTTGCTCCAGTAAAATTTTGGAATGGTTTATATATATTTTTTATAATATTATTTTCATACAAATAGTTATTATATTATTTGCGTACAACCCATTCACTACGGTAACACTTTGCCCATCTTTCATTCTCTCATTCTTCTTTTAATTCTGTACACAATCTTCCCTCTTTCTTTCTATTTGTTTCTTTTTCTTCTTTTAAAAAATTCTAGATTGTGGTCAGATTTTTGTAACAAGTAAAATGTTTTTGGTATTTAAAATTTTTAACAAAAATAAAAATAAAAATAAAAAAATCTAATAATTACAACAAAATAAAGATAATAAGAGAAGGAAGATGTAAAATATAATTACCATAATAGCAAATTATCAAGTGACATTTTTCTAGTTAAATTTGCAATATAAATTATTTTTTAATTGAATACTTTTAAATGTTAAAATAATTAATTTATTATTGTGATTAGATCATTACAAGTCCAGTCCAGAAAAAAAAAAAAAAAAAAAAAAAAAAAAAAAAA